TGGTAGTCAAAGACTTAGCTGTGAGCCACCCGGCGCTCCTGAAATTACGCCAGCACAGCTGGGGTTGCGTGTCTATGGGGCAGGGGAGAGAAAGGTCTAATCCATCAGTGGGAAGTAGGAACGCATGGGAGATCTCCTTGAGAGAACAAAGCAAAACCCCAAAGCCAGGCTGGCACATTGCTTGACCCTCAGGCCAGGAGGCCGGCTGGAAGGGTTACAGAGATTCCCACCATGCTGTAAGAAAGATTCCTTGGGCCTCAAGCGAGACCAGAGTGTGGTTTTCGAGAGGAACAAGCTTGTAAGTGCTGCACCCCTGGGCCGAGAGCGAGAGAGCGAGAGTGAGAGGGCTGGGAGGGACTGGCAGGTGAGAACCCAATAGCACTGTCTGCCGCCTGCCTGCAGGGAGAGAAGGCATGTGGGGGAAACCGAGCAGTTGGTAGCAAACAAATGTAGGGACGAGAGGTGTCCTAACAGATGAGAGGAGTGAGACGCTAGATGCCCTGTCCTGGTCCGGACACCAGCGCAGTGCTCTGCACACGGCGCAGGCTGGCTAGCTCTTGCGTGTGCGTGGACAAGGCACCGCGCTGAAAGATGGAAGAGGGCTCCTTGTGGTATAATGGGGGAGGGGGCGGGGGAGAAGGAGGGGGAGAGGGAGGGGAACAGGGAGGGGAACAGGGATTTAAAAGGTGGACGACTGTGCTCTTCAAAGGAGACTCTTGGGAACTCTTCAAGGTTGGGGGATGAGTTGAGACTCAGGGTCACGTGAGCCAGCGCCATGGTATAGAATCAGAGGCATGTGGGCATTGCAGGTGGTTAGTACCTACCTTATCAGCCTGTGGCTATTCAAGGAGTAAATCTTTGTATCCAATCCTGCTTCTAATCAATGTCCATTGCTAGTAGGAGTGAGGGCTTTCATGGGGGAGAGCTGGGTTCTCCCCAGCCGGTACACCTCATGCTCAGTCAGTGGTCACGAGGGTCTGGTCACCTCATTGAACAGGGGCGGGTGGAGAACTGGGCAGAGCATTGTCTCCCGAGAGGGCCATGGTCACACGTCAGATCCACACCTGGATCCATGGCCGTGGACAGCCAGCCGCTGTAAAGCATGAGCACCACCATGACACGCCATGGAGTGTCCAGCAGGGTCGTCATCACCCGTCCTCTACTGTCACAGCAACCACGAGTCAGGAGAGCCGTGCCAGCTTACAGCTACGCCACCTGGGGCAGTTCGTCAGCATCAACGAGTACATGTCAGGGGATGGGCAGAGGGTTCAGGAGGAGTCCCAACAACCCTGAGTTAGCAGGTAAGGAATCTGGTTAGTCATGGCATCCAAGAAGTCTGAAGGCCACATGAGGGTGCTGGGAACAGGGAGAGAGGGATGAAAGTCCTCCCCCTCCAACAATTTGTCTACGTCAGAGAGCATGTTGATATCGTTCATGGTGTGGAGTCCATTCCACAGGGTGGTCAAGGCCACAGGAACCCTGGGGCCATGGTGGTTATGTGCTGGGCTGTGATTGGAAAGGTCAGCAGTTTGGAACCCCCAGCTGCTCCTCGGGACAAAGATGAGGCTTTTCTACTCTCGTAAAGTTACGGTCTCAGACACCCACAAGGGCCAGTTCTAGCCTGTCCCACGGGATCGCTGTGGGTTCGAGGGCAGTGAGTTTGGTTTGGTCTAGGAGACCTGGCAGTGCTGGGGGTTGGCATTGGGCAACGAACTGCAAAGCCAGTAGTTCATGAAAGAAGAGCCAACCAGCTGCTCCGTGGCTGTCTGCTCACATGAAATCTTGCAGTTTGAAAAACCAGCCAGTATGAGTCAGATGGCATCGGCTCGATGGCTATAGTTTGGTTTCAGGTTTTAATCTGCATGGGGGCAAATCGCCAGGCTGTTCTCCCACGGAGCCAGTCAGTAGGCTTGAACTGCCAACTCCTTGGTTAGCAGCCAGAGCGTAACTGCTGCTCCACAGAGCTGCTGACAGATCCACAGCAGCCTCTCTCGGGTCTGTCTCTAAGCTATCGTGCACCATGTGCGTAGGAAGCTTTTCATTACAGCGTGAAACTAGTCCTGCTTTATGCTCTGGCCAGGTGGGCGTGGCCCCGAGCAAGCGAGCAGGGGCCTGGGTGGGATGGGCCTATGTGTGGGACAGGAAGGGACTTCAACTCCTCTAGCTTAGAGAAGGGGCAGCCGCCACTTGTGACCTGACATCACTGATGTTGCCCCGTCTACCTCAACAGGACCCTTCTCAGCCCAGAACATACCCAGTCAGTCAGATGTCACAGAAACTAGGTACGGAGCCCTGACCATCAGCCCATGGGTACACACTGCACCCCCATCCTAATGCTTTCTCCTTTGGCTCCTGGAGGCCTGTGTGTGTGTAAGAACCTGGGTCTCATTGTCGCAGACAGATGCCTGTGTTCTTTTAGCTGAGGCAGATGGGCAACCAGGGGGAGGCGGTGGGGGTGGCTGTGAGGGAGGAGGTGACATTTGTAAATATGTCAAGGGACAATGAAAATTCCATAGATGCGCTGGAACCTTTTAAGTGAGAAAATGAAGTGACTTTTTAAAAAATGCTGTGCACATCGGAAAAGTCAGTACCCCCAAGGGGGTTGATTCCCGATTCTCTGGGGTTACTGTGGATACAGACCAGCTTAGGGAAGACTGCACCTTCAACCGCTTCTCCTTGAACACGCTCCATCTGAGCTGCCAGCGATTTGCATAATAAATGGTAACTTTCCAAATGGCAGGCAGCCTAAGGAAAGAGGGATCGCTGGTGGCACAGTGATTAAGCATTTGGCCACTAACCCAATAGCTGGCGGTTCAAATCCAGCAGTTGCTCTGCAGAAGAAGGACATGGCATGGGCACTGGCTCTCTACTCAAGTCCTCCCTCAAGACAAGAACACTTTGTTCTAATAACCTGGTATTCTGTGATGCTCAACTTCCTGACACGATTGCTGAAGACAAAGCGGGTGCATAAGCTAACGTGGTGACCAAAGCTGATGGTGTCTGGCTATCAAAAGATGTAGCATCCAGGGTCTTAAAGGTTTGAAGATAAACAAGGGGCTACCTGGCAGGGAAGCATCAAAGCCCACCTGGAAGAAGCACACCAGCCTGTGTGATCACGAAGTGTCGACGGGATCAGGTTATCAGGCATCAGAAGACCCCAAACAAGCAATCTTATCCATGTGAATGAGGTGGGTTGGAGCGGAGACCCAAAGCCCATCTGTAGACAATTGGACATCCCCTCACAGAAGTGTCACAAGGAAGGGACAAGTGAGCCAGGGTGCAGTGCAGCACCTCTATGTTCTTTAATTACCCCCACACACACACACACATACACTATCATGTGCACTATCACTATCAGTGTACAGGAGCGTGTACTCTGGTACTGATAAGAGCTGCCAACACATGGAACCCGGGACAGACAAACCCCTCAGGAACAGTCATGGGAGCAGTGATACCTGAGGGCAGGGGGAAGGTGGGGGGAGAGGGAGAAAGGAGGAACCCACCTCAATGATCAATGAATAAACCCCCCACCCACCGAGGGGGACCAACAACAGAAATGTGGGTGAAGTTGAGACAGAGGATGGTGTAAGATATGAAAATAACAATAATTTATAAATGATCAAGAGTCATGAAGGGGGGAGGGGGAGGGAGGGGAAAAGAGGAGCTGATATCAAATGCTCAAGTAGAAAGAAAATATTTTGAAAATGATGGCAGCATATGTACAAATGTGCTTGATACAATTGACGTTTGGATTGTTATAAGAGCTGTAAGAGACCCCAATAAAATAATTTATTAATAAAAATGATTTAGATTTAAAAAATTATGTGCGGCCATCTAGCTCAGAAGCAACAAAGCCCACATGGAAGAAGCACACCAGCCTGTGCAACCACGAGGTGTCGAAGGGATCAGGTATAAGGCATCATCAGAACAAAAAATCTTACCATAGTGAATGATGGGGGGAGTGCAGAGTAGAGACCCAAAGCCCATTAATAGGCCACTGGAGATCCCCTTGCAGAGGGGTCTCGGGGAGGAGATGAGCCAGTCAGGGTGCGATGTAACAACGATGAGAAATACAACTTTCCTCTAGTTCCTAAATGTTTCCTCCCCGCTCCCACTACCATGACTCGAATTTGACCTTGCAAGTCTGGCTAGACCAGAGGAGGTACACTGGTACAGATAGGAACTGAAAATACAGGGAATCCAGGACGGATGAGCCCTACAGGACCAGTGGTGTGAGTGGCGATACAGGGAGGGTAAAGGGAGAGTGGGTAGGAAAGAGGGAACCATTACAAGGATCTATATGTGACCTCCTCCCTGGGGGACAGACAACCGAAAAGTGGGTGAAGGGAGACGTCGTCGGACAGGGCAAGATATGACAAAATACCAATTTATAAACTATCAAGGGCTCATGAGGGAGGGGAAAAATGAGGACCTAATGTCAGGGGTTTAAGTGGAGAGAAAATGTTTTGAGAATGATGTACAATTGATGTGTGTATGGATTGTGATAACAGTTGTATGAGCCCCTAATAAAATGTTTAAAAAAAAAAAATGATGTGGCAGTTTGCCTCCATCTGAAGACTTACAGTCTGGAAGCCCTGTGGGGCAGCTCTCTTCTGCTCTATAGCACTGCTGTGAGTCAGAGTCCCTTGGGTGGCACCGAGTTTGGCTTTGGTCTTCCAAGGAACAAAGAACGGCTGTGAAAGACTCAGGCCCGCCCGTTCCCTAGCTCAGTGGTCTCTGAAGAACCAGGCGTGGTGGAGCTCCTCACAGATGTTCCTGCAGCACCTTTGAGTGAGCGCTTCAATCAAGACCTCCAAGCTGCAGCAAGAACTCAAACCCCACGTGCTAATTCCGTTCAGTCCAAGTCCGTTGTCACCACTCAAAACATCTAGGACTTGGGATGGAGCCTCCCTAGGACCAGACTTGGGCGCTCCCTCTAGAACCTTACCCCTTGGTGCAACGGCACCTTCACTTCCATAGACAGAGAACTCAGACCTTACCCCTTTGTCCAACGGCACCTTCACTTCCATAGACAGAGAACCAGTTTCCCCATTGATCATGGCTGTTCTTAGCTGCAAGGGGAGAGACGAGGGCATGAGTTCCTTGCCTTACTCTGGAAGGTAGAGTGTATTAAGCTTTCCTGACCAGACTAAATTTTTCCCCTTATACCTTTTCTCTGCATAGAATACAGGGAGATAAAATAGAGCGGATCCTTAGGTTCAATTTACCTTATCCTTCTGGGCATTCACCACATTAGTCTTTCAAAATGGACGGATGCATAAGTATGCCTAGGATCATATTACTGAAATCATGGATTCCTTCAGGGTGTGCTACTGAGGCCAAAAGTCAGGCAAAACCACGACCAGAACTCAACCTCTGTAGCTTATCCACCCAATCTCATTTCTCATTCATCCTCAGGAAGCCTTGTGGCTCCGGGAGGTATTGGTATATATATATTGGTATTGGTATATATTGGTGTATATATATATATATATATATATATTTTTTTCCCCCCTGTTGTTTGAAGAATTTGCCCATTATAGGACATGCGGCCGACTTGGGGCTTGGGACAGCTCTGGGATGGAGCTGGCCTGTCTTAGAGAAGTCAGGAGTGACCTCAGAGCTTCGTGCCATGAGGCTGGCCGGTTCTGTTGGAGACAGAGCTCAAGCAGCTCCCCTCGGCCTGCTGCTCTTCCCCACTCACGCGTTGGGCGTGGCCCTCCCATTCCACTTCAGAGAGGTCCACGCTGTTGTAGTTGGGCTTGGCCTTCAGCTTCTTCCCCTCTCTATACTGGAGAGAGCAGGTCAGGGGGAAAAACACGAGGTTAGCACAAGGCCCTCCTCCCCTCGCATCTCTCTCTTTCTTTTTAATCGTTTTATTCGGGGCTCATACAACTCTTATCACAATCCATTCATACATCAATTGTGTAAAGCACATTTATATATTCGTTGCCCTCATCATTCTCAAAACATTTGCTTTCTCTCTTTTGAAAAAACAATTTAGAATGGCAAATTAGGCAGGGGTTCAATGTCAGATCGCCAATTTGTATGAGACAGTTTAAACTACTAACCAACCCCCTGATGGTTTCACCTGTTCCTTGATTTTACTTCTCCCTCTTGTGGACTGTTAGCTCCCATGTCACCCAAGTCAACCACCATCAACAGTCCGGTCCTTTACTTTGCTGTCCCTCCCTTGCCTTCCCCTACTTGGAAATCTCCAAAGTCTGTTCCCTTTGGTGAGAAAGTCTTTAAAATAGATACCTTCGGATACACTCAATCGAAGAATCTCAGTGATTCCGTAAGGCCTCTGGGCCCACCTTTCACCCAGGGTCTCAGGGTCTCTGAGTGAGTATTTCCCACGATGGGAACCTCCCCAGTATGTGAGTCAGCTTGTCACAGTTTGGGACAGCTCGAATTGCTAGGAAGTTTTTCCCCATACAGAACTGAAGTCTGTCTCCCACTGCTCCTAGTTCTTACCCCTGGGGCTACATACGGGCATCTTCCACCTGACAACCCAGAGATTGCCAACATACTTGCACTCCTGTCCAAATATTTGGATACGCTCCACTTTGTCGGTGTCACTCCTAAAATGGGGTTCCCAGGACAACAATTAATATTCCAGGTGGAGTATGACCAGTGTGCTATGGGGTGTGACCTTTCTGGACCAAAATATCATACCGCGATGGATGCCGCCTATGAGACTGCTTAACCTCCTAGAGAGGCACGCCAACACGCCACCCTCGGCATTCACCTGCAACTTTCATGCAGTTAAATTCCTTGGTCTTTCTCACACGATACTCTTAAATTACATCTCCACAGTCTTATGCTTGAGTACTGAATGGTTTGGCAGAGCACTCTATATATCATCCTCAATATATTTTATCTCATTAGTTTCAGCTTATTGTTTTGGAGGCGTATGTTCTGAATACTAATTTGCTCTCAATGCATTCACCATACCTTTCAGACATTGTACCATCTGCTTTCTGTATTTCCATCTCAAATGGGGCAGAGCCAAGGACAGATGTCTAATGAAGACCTCCCTCTTGTGTGACATAGAGCCATTGGACAACACTCTTGAGTGTTATTACCTTCTGGTCCTGACTTCTTGGTTTTCCTATCTATCTATCTATCTATCTATCTATCTATCTATCTATCTATCTATCTATCTGTCTATCTGACTTCTATCTGTCTGTCATCTCCATCTCTCTGTCTCTCTCTTGGATGTCAAGCTAGGTATCATCAAATGATATGCTCTTAGGTTGAGTTATCATTTCAAAAGAGGAAGGAAGGTGACTTAGCACAGGTAAGTTAACAATTAGCCAGAGGCTCTACTTGTAGCAGAATGAACCCCCAGGCTTCTGTTCCAATGGCTGAAATCCCACACCATGTGCTTCTGGCCTGTTTTATTCAGGAACGTGTCCTCCTTCACTCTCACCTGTCCAGGTGACCTGTGGTTCACGTGCCATATAGGATGCATGTTCATTCATTTTCACCTCATGCATGCCTGGATGGTGCCTCTATTCTTGGGCTTATTGGCAGCCATACTCACGACAGACAGCACTGCCCTAATATCTTTCACATCGGATCCATCTATGTTGAATAAGGTGCAATATTCCAGTGCCATTTCCTAAATCTGGACACTATCTTAAAGACCATCTTTAGCTCCTATTAAAATCATAATTCTGCTTTATTAATTATGTATACTCGGGCATTGCCATAGAAAGATTTCAAGTCCAAAGTGTCACTCTTAATCTTCTTTAAATTTATCAGTTTACTACTAGGTATCTTTCTATTGTTTTCTTTCTTCTTTTTCTTTTTTTAAAGAAAACAACCGGCCCACAACTGCTATTCCTCCTTAATTCCCATCATACACTGATGGGCATCTCATTAAATTGGCATTGTCGTTATCTTTTGTTAGAGAGTTGCATTCCGTGCTGTAGTATTCACGATTTCACTTACGTGAACCTTATTTCCTTACTTATACCCTAAGTCTCATCCCTATTTATAGCATTCCTCACAGCATGAGAAGGGAGGGGTGCAGTATGGGTTTATCGATTGAAGCCTTATGGTCATCTAGATGATTAGAGAGAAGGTGACAGGTAGGCTTCTGGTCAATATCTCTTAATTTTATAATTGAGCTCCAGGATCAACATATTTATTATTTCCCTAGTGAGTCATTGTGCTGGCACTGCTGCCTCCCACAGAGCCTGCTAGTCCAGGAGAGTCACACCTCATGTGATGTCAGGCCTAAAATTAAGGACCTGTATCATGTGCTGCCTTGACATCTGGGGCACACTGGAAGGCTCTTTGAGTGGTCTGACCTAAAGCTCTCTTCTGCCCCCATAGAATAAGTCCCCTCGTCAAACAACCCTCCTGTCATGGGACCAGGTACTGTTCCTGTTTATCTCTGAGTCCCGGGTTTCAATTCCCTGCCACCCCCGAAATGACTCAGACAAGCCAACTGCATCCTCCTCTGGGAGCCACGGGCAGCCTCTCTTCCTCATACTCCAAAGCCTACATCCCACAGCCCATATTTGTGCAATTTGTTTACAAGTACAACCCCCGCAAGGCCCTGCATGGTGTGCACTGTCCTCCCCCACTCCCCCACCCGGGCTGTGCGTATAGGAGACAATCAGAGGATAATACCACATAGACAATCGGAGAAGAAGACCACACAGGCTATGACTAACAAAACACTATTGCTTCCATGAGCCCAGCGTTGGGAATTATCAAAGGGGTGAATTCGTCAAACTCCTTGTCACTGAGTTGAAGCCGACTCGTAAGAGCCCACCCTAAGAGCCGGAGGAGCACAGCCCCAGGTCACTTTGAGTCTAGGGGGCGGTTGTTGGGTGCCAGCAGGCTGGTTCTGATGACGGGATGAAGTGCTGCCTGGCCCTGCGCCATCTCTTGATCCGTGTGTGAGCCCATTGTCGCAGCCACCGTGTCAGTCCAGCTCCTTCAGGGCCTTTCTTTTATTATTTTAAATGTCCTCTCGGGCCTTTAAGAGCCAGCCCTGTGCTTAGTACCGCCCTCCTACACTGAGGGGAGATGCTGTCTGTCCTGTCTCAGGCCCCCCGGCCACAGCTGAGCACAGGGGAGCAGGGACACTCGGCCCAGGACGAGATGGGCCTTTCTTTTTGTCACTGACCCTCCACTTTCCCAAGCACGACGTCCGTCTCCAGGGACTGGTCTCTGATGACATGTCCAAAGTTTGTAAGCCGAAGTCTCTCCATCCTTGCCTCTAAGGCAGCGGTTCTCAACCTGGGGGTCGCAACCCTTTGGGGGCGTCAAACGACCCTTACACAGGGGTTGCCTGATTCATAACAGTAGCAAAATGACAGTGATGACGTAGCAATGAAAATAATGTTATGGTTGGGAGGGCGGGGTCACCACAACACAGGAACTGTATGGAAGGGTGCGGCATGAGGAAGCTTGGGAACCACTGCTCTAAGGGGTACTCTGGCCATATCTCTTGATGGAAATAGACTGCCACACTTCTCTTCCAGCGGGCAGCTGATCGGTTCCAACCACTAGCCTTGAAGGCAGTATTTATATAAGGCTACGCAACATTGCCTTCTGAGCCACTGTTTGCTCAGTTGAGCCCAGGTGAAAATCGACCCAGCCTCCGTGTAAGATGGAGGAAGCTGAGACAGGGCAGGGACACATGAGGAGACACGCTGCAGGCAGCCTGCCAGTCCTGTTGTTAACTCAACATGAGCCACCCCCTTGGGTGGGCTGGGGGAGCTATGCTTACGTGGCTGTCAGACCCCAGAGGGAGTGTGGTGCTCCCTACTGAGGTAGTGATGGGAGTGCTCGCGCAGCGTCCCATGGGGCAGAACTGCATGCTTCATTGCATGTTCTCTTGGCTGTTCATCAGTCATTTCCTGGTGTTTTGCCTTGTCTCTTCTGCTAGATTATAAATGATTTGAGAACAGGAACCACAACTCAAATACTTAAAAAAATTCTCATACTACCCATAGTAAAGGGTTGGATTCCTAAATGGGGTCTGTGTGTGTGTGTGTGTGTGTGTGGCTACTTTAATGAATTGTCCCCATGTCCTGTATGAGGGGGCTTCAAAAATGTCATGGAAGAATTAAATGGAAAGAAAGCGGTCCCCTTGCCCCCAGCCTTCTAATGAATTTTCACAATTTCTTTGAAGCCCCTCATATAGATAGGACCCCAAGGAAAACTAGAGCGGTCAATACCTACCGAGGGTCGCAGGTCAGGGTGTGAGAGGATGTAGCCGTTGTTAGTGTTCAGAAAGGCGTATCCGTGCACCCCCAGCTGCCGGGGAGAAGGAGGGAGGTTCATTAGAGCTGGTGTTTGTGTCGGCTCATTGAGGGCACGGGGTTTGGGGCCACAGGCTTACAGGTTAAAGATGGCCGCTCCCAACGGAGACCTTTCCAAGTAGCAATATCACTTAGGCAGTGGCAGGCTTCTACCCTTGTATATTTGAGTTTTACAAAAAATGTACTGCAGGAAAATATAGATAATATGAACGTGAGTCGTGCTAGCCAATTTCAAGCGCACCACAGGGTTAGCATTATTTGGATCCCCAGTGTTTTATGCTCACCACCACGGCCGGCCTATGAAGCGTAGTCCCCTTCAGCAAGAACGCCCCATTTCCTCTCTCCAGCTCCAGCCCAACCCACACCACCGCCCAGGGTCAATTCCAGCTCACAGCGCCCCTATCGGACAGAGTACAGCTGCCCCACAGGGTTTCTAAGGCTGCAGATCCTATGGAAACACGGTCACCTCTTTCCCTCATGAGTCTCGGGTGGGTTCACGCCACTAGCCTTTCAGTTGTCAGTCAAGCACTTAACCAGGGCACCACTAGGGACCCTTTCCCCATTTCCGCCTCTTCGAGTCTGACTAATCTTGATTCTTTACTTTAGCGTCTTGCTTATTTCACAGAGCACAGTGTGGTAAGGTTCGTCTGTGTCATAACGGGAAGTCAGGTGGTGTAGTGGGTTACACACAGAGCTGCTTACCACAAGGCTGGTGGTTCAAAACCGCTCGTGGCAGAACAGAGAGGCTCTCTACTCCTGTGAAGAGTTCATCTCTGACGCCCACAGGGCAGTTCTGCTCGGTCCTGTAGGGTCACTGTGAGTCGGAATCCACCTGATGGCCCCGGCCTTTGGAGTTTTGATGTCATGGCATTGATCATAACTTCATTTCCCTTCACGGTCAAACAATACTCCACTGTAAGTGCATGTGAGTATTCAGGTGTGCGTGTACCGTATTTTGTTTACCCCGTCAACTGTTGATGGGTACTCGGGCTGTTTCTAGTCTTTGGACACTGTGCGTCACGTTGTTATGACCCCTGATAGGCAACTAGCTACTGAAGTTCCTGCTTGCGGTTCTTTGGGGTGTACGCCTAGAAGTGGACTTGCTGGGTCTCGGATAGTTTTATGCTTGCTGGCTTCACGAATCTGCCCTTTGCTTTTGAAATCCTTTCCAAATTTGATGGTTTGCCGTGGCAATGGTAGTGTGTGCCACCACCAAACGCCGTTCCCATCACGTGGTCCAGGAATCTGGATGCCACAACCTCACTGACTCCCACAGCAGTCCTGTGCAGCATGGAGGAGCAGCTTGGGAAACTGAGGCACGGCCCAGGGAGAGCATTTATTGAAAGCCACAAAGCAAGCCATCGTGAGCTCTGCTAAGAGACCCAGGAGTCCAGACCACTGGCCCGTGTCTGACATGTGGACTTCCCGGACTTGGCTGCCACGGCTTGGGGAAGGGTCCTGGCCCAGGCTCACCTTGTGCTGAGGAGCCAGCTTCATCAGCTCTTGCAGGGCCACATCAGAGCCCACCGCACCCAGGAGGATGCCGTGGGATCGCTGGAAGGCAAGACACCGGGGTCAGAGGACAGAGTCACGGCTTCCCCGTGAACAGGGTCAGACAGGCCCCGAGGTCTTCCCAGAGCTCAGAAATGGAAGCTACCTTGACCTCATGCAGGTATTCCTCTGCCCTTAGCCTCCTGGCTAATTCCCTGAGTCAAAACCTTGACCTCATCAGAGAGGCCCCAGGCACAAGCTCAGCTTCTTGGACGATTAATATTTAAGTGATAATAGCTAAATGAAAGACAAAGATGAATAAAATATTAATCTTCACAGCAGGAGCTGACGCACTGAGGTCCTAGAGATGGGGATCCACAGGTGCGCTGAACCACACGAAGCCTAAGTGGAAACATTTTCTGACCAGATGGGGGTTGGGGGATTCTAGAAATTCTTTCCCCAGAGGCCCTGACAAGCTAATGGAAGTGTGGCCAAACTGGCAAGCTAAGTGTGGCAGTGGCTCCAGGTGCATAGCCTTGGCCTGGCACCAAGTAGGCTGCCGTTGGACCCGTGGGTGGGGAAGAGCTGGGGAAATGTATGGATCCCCCGACTCCCAACTAAGAGATGCTGGTGTAGCTGATCTGGATCAGGGCCCGGGACGATGCACCTAGAACCCTCTCCCAAGGTGGTGCTGCTGATGCCCAGCCTAGTCAGGAACCATGGGTCTAAAGACGGCAGCCACTGGCTCCACATTCTCATCCCAGCAGCCACGTCTCAGGTAGCGGCCACCCACCGTTCTGTTCTTTTTGCTGAAGACCGGCATGGCGACGGTGGTCAGCAGGGTCAAGCTCTGGGCCTGCGAAGTGAAGAGCTGTCCAAGAGGAAAGAGCAAAAGACAAGAATCAGGCCCGAAGGCTCGCTCTGTTCAAGGGCACACAGCGCGGAGGGGCCATGGTCACTCACCGCCATCAACTTCATGCTACCACCCGCCAGTGGGAAGGAAGAAATCCCAAATGAGGTGGGTTTCCCAGCGCCTCAACAGACTTGCTGAGCTCTCGTATCTCTGCCGCCCAGAGCTATGAACCCATAGAACAGGCCCAACACCCCCACCCACCCACCCACACAGGGACAAAGAAGTTTAGCGTCTGAGAAATCTCTCATGTGGACCAAAGGTTGGTATGAGAGGGGCCACTCAGGGTGGGCAGACAAAGATCCAGAACCAACCACAGTGTTTGTAGTGGCCGCTTTGGGGTTATCCCTGACCCTCGCAGGACAGACCCTAGTCTCTTCTCCACTCACTCGGTCATTCCCAGCGCCCAAGGGTGCTTGCCTGCTGACTGCCATTTCCTTCCTTTACCTTCGAAAGGGCTCTATCCGCACGCCTGGCTCTAAAACGGAGTCAGACTTCTGAAAAGAGTTAGACACCTACACATCTGTAAGCACCTCACCCTCGTTCTGATACCCCCCAGGAGGCCGCTGGGCCCTGGGGATCTGCAGCAGACCTGAGCAGCACACCAAGAACTGGGTGATCATGGTGTCCCTACTCTCGGCTTCCTCTCACGTCCCATTTCAGTTTGGAAGCTCTGACAGTGAGCGGCAATTTGGCCTTAGCTCGGCCCCATCCACAAGGATGAGGCGATGCTGCCACACCTCCACAAGCCGGGAATCGAGGAAGCCAGCGATGCTTCCCCCCTGCGTCTCAGGGAACCCCAGCTTTTCCCTCTCTCCTGCCCTCGTCCTCAGGAGTCCGCTTTCACTCCACGGGCGTGCAGTGAGGCTTGCAGCTGTCCCTACACACTGGTCTCTGGCCATGCACCCAGGGTTCAGTGGCTAACACCCTCGCCTCAGAAGTTCTCGAAGGTGGACCCAGCAGACGTGCTGATGACCCTGGACTGCAGAGATGCCCGCGGAAGGGAGAAGGAGAAGCCAAGGGGAGAGAGAGATGTAGGCACTAGGGGTTCTCCTTAAATAGGCGGCAACTGTCATGTTTAGAAGAGAAGAGACGACTTTGCTCTGCTGTGTGGACGTGAGGGAGACAGGCACTTGGAGGGGCACGATGGTTGTGAGATGTCAAAGGATAACAATGCATAACCCCTCGGAAGTCATGCTTAGAGTATGATAGGGAAGTGAGGGCACGTCTCCTCTGCTCTCCTTCCCCACTCTGCCAGCCTAACACACCCAAACAGCCCAGGGGCCCCTTAGCCAGGGCCTATGTTCCCCTCACTGGAGTTCAGGGTTCTGGGAATTGTTAAGTGCAGATCCAGCCTTCGATGCACCGACTCCCTTAGCATGAACACCAACACTCAGACGGGTGGGGCCGTACAAGCGGGGCTCCCTGCAGACATGGTCCCTGCCGCAGGCCGTGCCAGCCGATGTAGGGCGTGAATGGATGGATGGGAATGAAAAGCATGAGACAATGTGCAAAGGAAGGAGGAGAACAAGGAATCTCCCTCTGTCTCATTCACTCTTCACTGTTTCTTTTGAGTTCTCAGTCCGTGGGACCTGCCCTGCGAACACCTGGACGATGAGAGGATAAACCTGCCCGGCGGTTCAGGAAGTTTTTCCCTGCTGAGCCCCCGTGAAAGTTGGACGAGCTCTCCATAGACTGTCCCGATGGGCTGAGCTCCTTGAAAGGCGATCAATGAGCTTTTAGTTCCCAAATTGGCAGGCTGGTTCATATTTATTATTAATGGGGTATTAATTAAGCACACTACTGCTTTATAAGGTAGAGGTACGCAAGTAAGTCATCAGAGCTAAGTAATGAATAGGGAGAGGTAAGTCACAAGAGAAGCTGAAAGTTTATATTTCCAGTCTTTCGTGAAAGTAAGAGTCAATATGACCCATAAGATAGAAGTTTCCTTTACAGGGTGAGGCATGGCCCCCTCCCCCCCTCCTTCCACCATCTTGTGACTTACAATGTGGCGTCTATTAACTAGAGTTCCACCAGCCACCCCAGACCCGGAGGACCAGGGCTACGTCTGGGATGACAGAGGTGACAACAGGAAGGAGCCCGAGGCAATGATGACCAGAGGCCTCCTCATCAGCTCAGGGCCACCCTCTTCTGGGCCTTTGATATGTGAGGGAGAAACAGGGGCACTTCTGCCCTATTTAAGCCAGTATTTTTAGGTCTCTTTACATCCCAGGCTGAAACATTATCCTTGAAGCAGGTATGTGATTTGAGAGGTGCCAGGAAGGTCCCTCTTCCCCGCAAAGAGCTCATCTGAAACCCTGCCTTTGATGGCTGATTTATTCGTGGAAATCACTGCTGCCCAGAGGCACTTCCTTTAAGCATGCAGCGATCCAGGAAAGGAGAGCACATGATCACGTGGTGTGGGGGACTGTGAGCGATGGGTCAGCTTCTTCCCTTCACAGCCCGCAGGAGGGAAGGACACCGAGGGAGGGGAGTCCCAGTGAGGGAAGGCAGGGGAAAAAGAGCCCAGGGGCTCTGCCTGTGGGCACAGACCTGGGCAGGTTTGCTGGAAGAATTTATGGCATCTGGAGCAGCATCAGAGCATAAACCTGCCACTAGATTGAGGAAGGAGAAGAAAATGCCCCAAAGTTCAATGCTCATTTCCCACCTTCGCAGTTCTGCCCAAGGGCATGTGTTGGGCTCACCCCTATCCAACGCAGGAAGCCGCACTTACGTCCTAGAGTCCCTAACCTAGAACCCCGGTCAGGGTCCCACCTTGCTGTTCAGGTAAGCTTCTGTCCAGATGATGTCATGGTCATGGTTGATGACCATGGGACGGCTGAGCACATGCAGGTACTCCATCACGTTCTCCTGGGCGTCTGCCAGCGTGGAGATCTGTGTGTAGTAGCCTGGTGGGAAGGAAGAGTGAGTGATGTGGGATCATCCTGCAGATCCACAGTGGAGCCTCACTGGGCATTGCCCTGGGCCACAGGGTACTGCATACCCTACGGCTGTGCCCTTCCCTAGGGTGCTACAATGGCCTCTGGGCTGAAGGGGAATCCAAAAGCCTAGGCCTCACCTCACTTCGGGAGACCCCTGAGGGGTCTCCCAGCTCGAGCTCCTCCAGGGGGCAGCAGTGGCCTCAGCTGCAATCACATAGTGGGCTGGCTGCTCCCACCCCCACCCTGGCCATCCTCACTTCCTTATCGGTGTTGCTCCCAAGAGCATTTCCCAGCAAACATCCTGCATGCCACTCCTGGCGATCGTTCAGGCTGCCTGGTCTAAGAGGGTTTGATACCTCACTCAGACTCCATGTCTTTCTGATCATCGTCTTTCCTCAGATTACGAGGGGGGCGGGCGCTGTAGCATCTTCACTATACCCCTAGTGACAGCTAAAGAGCCCACGGCTTTCAGATGAAATGATTCGGTTCGTGGCACCACTCCGGTCTTGCTGCTGACCACCTCCCACCCTGCATCCATCCCACCAAAAATACCCCAAACCCAACTCAGTGCATTGAATCCACGCGGACTCAGAGCGACCCTATAGGACAGCGCAGAACCGACCATGCGCTTCCTGCACCTGCTTATGCGAGTACCTGTTTATGCGAGTAGAAAGCCCCAACTTTCTCCCCAGAGAGGCTGGTGGTTTCCAACTACAGATCCTTGGGATCGCAGCTCAGCACCTGACCACTATACCACCACTCAGGGACTCTGGGGCATCTTTCTGTTCCCAACATCCTGTCGTGCCAGGTTCTTGGTACAAGCTCGTCCTGCTGTCTGGAGCACCATCCTTGCTCCCGGGCTCGGGCTGACTTGTATTAGTTCTTCATGTTTCAGCTTAGCCAACCCTTCCTTCTGTTAGCCTGCCCAACTGGGAGCAGTGCCCCCTGTGGCACGCCCAGCACCCTGCACTGCCTGTGCCCCTCTAGAATGGACAGATTCTTGTTTGTCTCCTTTGCTGGGCTGGAGAAAGAGCAGGACTGAGCCCGTTCTGACCACTCTCGAGTCTCCGGGGCCTAGAAACAGTACCAGGTTCACAGCCACTGCTGATAGATTTTTGTTAAACCAACAGGGTACAAGCTGGTACCACGAGGCCCAGGTCCTGGGTCCTGGTCAGAGATAAGGTGAGGGCTGTTTGCACACAAAGCATTGTTGTCAAGGCAGCGCTGGCCCCTGGCTTGTGTTTGGGGACAGGCCCAGAGAAGATGGTTGTGGTTTAAAGCAAGAAGACTAAAGAGTGGACATCGGGGAGCTTACATGGAAAATAGTCATCTCACACCGATCTGGTTTCTAGAATATGGTTTGATGTTGGGATCTGTTTTGGAAGAGAGAGTTCTCTCTTCTGCAAACCCAGGAGCAATGATGCCTAAGTTCTCTTTCAGTGACTTTCTGACTGAGGACGAGGCCCCGCAGGAGGAATTAAGCATCGACTCAAGGCTCCGGGGAATGACGGGCTGTTTGTCTCGCTTTTTCCAGGTAAGAGGCCCTACCTGTGTGCAGGTGTAGGCTGCAGTGCACCCAGCCGACACACCTCGTACCTTTGTTGTTGCATGCGATCCACTTCATCCGGTCAGCAAAAGACACTTCTCTCCCAATGAGGTAAGTGAACACTCGGACCTAATCCACAGGACACACGAGGACTCAGCAGCCACCCTCTACCAAAGGGCGGCCCTTCCTAGCCAGAATGACGCCGACTTGGCGGAGTCTGGCCTGGGGGTCAAGTACTTGGCAGACTTTGTATTCCCCGAGTCTCACTCTGGGCACACATGGTTACATGCTCAGCTGTGAATGGAAAAGTTGGCTGTTCTAATCCACCCAGTGACTCCAGGTGGGAGTGGGCATGGGGAGACAAAGCCTGGTGGTCTGTTCCCGTGAAGATGGTAGTGAAGAACGTGCCCTTCTATGCCGTCGCATGGAATCACATGGAATTCAAAACAGACTCCATGCCACCTCACGACAGAATCATCCGCTCCCGTGATTGGAAAAGAGGCTGAGGTCTGCACAGCAAAATCACTTGCCCAAGATCAAGGTGAGCCTGGGACAGGTAGAAGGTGGAGATTCACAGCCCAGCAACCTTTCTGTCTCAAAACCATGGTCTGGCTCCTCACCCTGACCTCCCGCACCTACCTCCCTGTTGGGTCCTCGGTGGCTAAAACCCCTCGCGATCGAGCTGTTCCAACTCAGGACAACCCACGCACGTCAGGGTGGAAGTGGGGTCCACAGCGTTATCGATGGCTGCCTTTTCTGAAGTAGGTCATTTGCCCTTCATGCAGGACCCCCTGGATGGACTCGAACCCCCCAACTTGTTAGTGTGTAGCCTTGCTTATTAACCTTTCGCACCAGCCAGGGCTGGTTTCTCTCTGCCTAAGGTTGCCATAATTTTGGACCACCAAAATGAGACCCAGCTCCTGCAAAGAGTTTTGCTGCTGTTAAGTGTCATCGCTGGGTGGGTTCCCACCCGTGGAGACCCTATGCACAGCAGAACTCGGTGCTGCCTGGGCCTGGGCCACCCTCACAATCATTCCTCTGTTTGCCATCACGGTATGGAGCTAGCTTATCATAAAGATCGTAGCCTCTCGCCGCCATCCAGTCCATGCTGCAGACTCGTGACAACCGTATCGGACCACGGTAGAACGGCCCCAGTGGGTTCCTGAGATTGGACCTCTTGAAGGGAGTAGAGAGCCTCGTCTTTCTCCCGAGGAGCCTCTGGGGGTTTCCAACTACGGACCACATGGCTAGCAGCACAAAGCCGCATGGGCACTCCTCTGGGGCAGTTCTACTCTGTCATACAGGGTTGCTGTGAGTTGAATCCGCTTGATGACACACAACAGTGGGAAAGTATGTTTGAACTGAGTGTAGCCCTGGCTTTTCTGGGATTCCCCCCAGTTATTGTATCTGTGGTCGTGGGAGAACGCTGCCCTTGTCCCCTTCTATTTCCCTTTGACGCCCCTATCGGGAGGGTAACCTTTCGGTCTGGCCAGTTAAACTTCTCAAACACTGGCTCGTAGTCCTCCACAGCTCCGTCCGTGATCAACATGATGGCCTGGTTACATAGGCTTCCTTGCCTGGCTTCCTGGAACTGTGAGGGGGAGGGGAGGACGGGCACTGTGACTTCTGGCCGGAAACTGCCCCCCCTCCACCTCCACCTCTTCTCCCTCGAGGCTTCTTCGGGGGGCGTGTACCTGCTGGAGGATCCGGAAGGCTTCGCTCAGGGCTTGGTTCACGATTCCCACACCTTTGACCATCAGCTCCTCCACCAGCTGTTTGAAATGCTGCCAGGGTAAGACGTCGGAAGAGGGTCAGGGGCATTGGTGAGCTAGGGAGCCTGCACCATTGGTCTGGATCAGGAGGCGGTTTAGAATGCTGTTCTGAAGAACTCAACTGCACCTCCCACCTCTTCATGATCCAACTAATTTCGTGGACTGAGCCACTTCAGTAGCTGTTTCTCAGATGGCCCCAAAGGTAAACTGAATGCGAGAGAACGGCTCAATGCAATAGTTCTCAACTTTCCTAAGGCTGCGACCCTTTCAGATAGTTCCTCATGTTGTGGTGACCCCAACCATACAATTATTCTCGTTGCTACTTCATAACTGTCATTTTGCTACTGTTATGAATCAGGTGGCCCCTGTGAAAGGGTCGTTAGACCCCCAAAGGGATAGTGACCCACAGATTCAGAACCTCTGGGAGTACTAACAGAGAGTGTCATTGGGAGTACTAACAGAGAGTGTC